GTCCAGTTTTGGGTTCCCTCATTACAGAAAGGATGCGGACAAGTTGGAGAGAGTCTAGCAGAGAGTAACGGAAATGGTTAGGTGGCAGGGACACATGACTTCTGAGGAGAGCCTGAGGGAATGGGGCTTATTTAGTCTGCAGAAGAGAAGACTGAGGGAGCCTTTAACTACCTGAAGTGTGATTCCAGAGGATGGAGCTAGATTATTCTCAGTGGTGGCAGATGACCAAACAAGGAGTCTCAAGTTGCAGCAAGGGAAGTTTAGGATGGGTATTAGGAAAAACTCTCTCACTAGGAGGGTGGTGAAGCACTGAAATGAGTTACCTAGAGAGGTGATGGAATCTCCATCCGTGGAGGTTTTAAGGCCAAACTCAACAAAGCCCTGTCTGGAATTATCTAGTTGGGGATGGTCCTACTTTGAGTGGGTAATTGGACTAGATCACCTCCTGAGGTCCCTTCCAACCCTAATTTGTTATGATTCTATGATTTGTATTTGTGTTTTTAATTATTCCTTCGGAATATGCACCTTGCATTTGTCTACATTGAATTTCATCCTGTTAGCTCTAGCCCAATTTTACAATCTGTCGCTATCTTCTGAATTGCGCTCACATTTTCCACCATGTTTGCAGTCCTCTGTTTTGTGTCATATGCAAACTTGCTCAGGAAGCTTTCTGTGCCATTATCCAAATCATTAATAAACACATAGAACAACACTGGGGCCCAGAAGAGATATCTGTGAGACTCCACCTGAAACCCCCCGCTTATCTGACATGGACCCGTTAATGATGATTCTTTGCTTGTGGCTATCAAGCCTGTTATCTTTCCACCTTATAGTAGTTTATAGTAGTTTTTAGGGGTGCACCGATAATGATTTTTTGGGCCAATACCAATGGCTGATTATTAGCGAGCCATATCAGCCGATCCTATTGCCAATATGCAGCCCAGCAGCTTGGAGACCAGTATCCAGCTGGTAAATCAGCCCGACTCCCTCCCTCACAGATTGAGGCCACCATGGTGAGGGAGAGAGTGGAGCTGGGCCTGGGGCTGGGGCTGGGGCAGGTGCTGCCCAGCCAGGGCAGGGCAGGGGTCGGAGCTGTGAGTAGCTTGTCCAGGGGGCATGGGGAAAGGGGGGACAGCTTCTGCCACTACGCACGCCCCTGGGGAAGACATGTGCCCACTGGATCTATGCATGGGGCGAGGGTGGGCTGCCCGCTATGAGCTGGGGCCAGGAGTGGCACTGGGCTTTTCCTAGCAGGGGGAGGCTGGGCAGAGGCTGTGCTCAAGGTGGGCGGCAGCAGCACTAGAAGGGGTGACTACAGTAGATTTTGGGGTGGCTGTAGCCCACCCTGTAGCCCCCCCTTTCACTGCCACCACTGCTCACCCCAAGTATAGCCCCGCCCCCCATAAAGAGCCCGGCATCACTCCCAACCCCAGCCTGCAGCAGCAGCCTCCCCTTGCCCTGTGCACAGATCCAGGGGGCATTTGCCTCCCCAAGGCTTCCTTGGGGGTGTGCGCAGTAGTGGAAGCCACTCCCTCTGCCCCAGCCCCACTCCCTCCCTCACCATGGAGGCCTTGATCTGCTCCCCACCCCCACCCCTTCCCCACAACAGACTTACCAGCAAGATGCTGCTTTCCAAGCTGCCAAGCTGGCTGTGTGCATGCTGGAACTGCTGCCTTCACACAGCAGTCACCATCTTGAGTTGTCAAAACTTTAGGTTTCACTTAATGTTCATTTCACTTAATGCTCAGTTTTTCAGATCCAATTAAGAGCGCTAAGCAGGGGTTGCCTGTAGTTACTTTGTCAAAGAAGGAGATGAGATTTGTTTGACAAGATGTGGTTTGCATAAATCCAAGCTGGCTTCTTGTGATCAGCCTTTCCTCCTCCAGATCCTAATAAATGGTCTTCCTTAGTATATGCTCTAGTAAATTCCCAGGTATTGAGGTGGGGTTAACCAGTCAGTAGTTCCCAAGGTCCTCCTTTTTGCCTTTCTAAAAGAGGGGCACTACCGTGGCTCTGTCTAGTTCTCTAGCATGTGGCCCATCTCCCACAGCTTCAAGAAGATGCTCCAAGATCTCTGCCAGTTCTTTCCTGTACTCTGGGATGAAATTAATCTGGCCCCACTGACCTGAATTCACTGAGACCCCACAAAAGCACTCTGACCATCTCTTTTGTTATCTCTTTCCTCAGCTTTCCCCCATCCTTATCGAGATAATCCTTATTAGGTGTGTGGCTGGAACTTGATTTTTTTGTGAAGACTAAGGCAAAGTTGCTGTTGAGTAGATCCAACTTTTTTGCACCTTCAGTTAGACGTTCCCCCTGGCTTGTTAACAGATGACACACAGCTTCCTTGATCCTTCTTTTCTGGCCAGCATACTTATAGAACCTCTTCTTCTTGTCCTTAATCTCCTTTGCCAGGTAGAGCTTATTCTTTATCTTAGCCTTCCTGATTTTGTTCCTGAAGGTTCTGGCTATTTCCTGGTATGTTACCTTGGTGACCTGCCCATTCTTCTGTTGCCTGTATTCTTTCCTTTTGCATGTGGGGCATTTTAGAAGCTCCTTGTACAGCCACATTGGTCTCTGGCTATTCTTGTGCTTCATTGTGCCAGGACGGTTTTTTGTTGGGCTTCCAATACTGTGCCCTTTACCATCCCTCCTAGGCACTATTATCCTTCAGTCTGTCCTCCCATGACACTGTGCCTATTAAGTCCTTGAGTCAGATGAAATCCACATTTTTGAAATCTAGTATCCTAATTTTGCTGATTTTATGCTTTCCCTGTCTTAGGATCTGGAATTTTATCGTATCGTGATTGCTTCCTCCCAAAGTACCCATCACTTTCCCATCCTCCATTAATTCATCTCTGTTGGTCAGGACTAATTCCAAGATAAACAATCCAATCTTCTAGTTGTATCATCAACCTTCTGAAATAAAAAATTGTCCTCCACACAAGTTAGGAACTGGCTTGACATTTTATGTTTGACTGAATTATTCTTCCAGCAGATGTCTGGAATATTGAAATCTTCCATCAGTACCATCCCATAGCTTTTGGATAGATTTGTTACCTGCCTGAAGAGTGCTTCATCCACCTCCTTTTCCTGATTTGGGGGGCTGTAATAAATCTTTCACCTTTCATCTACATTCCAATGCATTCTGCTTTGCCATCTTCTTCCTCCCAAACCAGGGAAGAAGTGTATGTGTTTTTGGCATAAAAGGCAACACCACCACCTTTCTCCCAACCCCATTGACATTTCAGTTTTAAGAGCTTTCCCACCAGGTTTCTGTGTTGTCAATCAGGTCATAGCTTGAGTCCAAGCACTCACCCCACTCTCCCACTTTGAGGCATGTTGAGCTGGGTCCTCACTCCCACTCTGTGGTGTTAAAACCACAGCAAAACCCTACCACCTCCATTCCAATGGCCGCCCCACAGTCAGCACCCAGACCTCATGCCCTAGTCACTCACCCATGTCCATCATGGCCCAGTGCAACTACCTTACATGGCTATACCCAACATAACATAAGGGTTCCTTGGCAGTCCTCTGAATGATAGAGACGTCTGTAGGACTACAGTCAGAACCCTGATGTGATTGCGAAATCTTAGGATAGATATCTTTCCAAGATTGTATGCGTGGCTAATGGCAGTATAGCTTAATCCTAGCACATCCTGCAACTGCTCACCATATAGTGGAGTGTCCCCAAGTCCTTTCCACATGTTTAACCAGATTCCTTTTTTTCCTTACAGGTGCCATTCTCCAACTGCAGCAGGGATTGCCTCCCAGGCACCAGGAAAGGCATCATTGAGGGAGAGCCTACGTGTTGCTTTGAATGTGTGGAGTGCCCAGATGGGGAATACAGTGATGAAACAGGTAATAGAAAGAAAGCTGTTCTCCTGTTTCCACAAAATCAAGTGAGCCTCTTAGTGGGCACTATTTGTAAGTGCAATCTATTTCCAGCTATTTTGTTTAGTTTTTTAAATTACTAATGAGTAGAAGCAATGCAGAACACCTAAAAGACTATTCTCTAAGAAAACTACATAAAGCCACTTAACTTCTTTTCTCTTTTTTTGGTGAATTCTAAGTGAACCTAGCACTGATAAAAGCTGTCAGAATCTAAAGAACAGGTGTTCCTCATACAGCAGGACAAGAGGCATCCACCTCATAAGCCCTCCCTGCCTACCCATCATCTTCATCACAGGGCTGGAGAGACCCTTTATAAATAGTATGGGGGAATTCAGTCTCCAGCCCCTGCTGATGCTGCTGTCAGCCATCTCAGAGCTGCATCAGTCTGATTGCTCTTTTTATAGGAATGTGTAGGTAGAAAGAAAGGGAAGTCTTGCTCAAGGCCATACAGGTTTCCCTCGATGTATGCTGTACATGTGTTCCTGGAGAAGGGCGCATAAAGTGAACCCACTTTACAGCGTAACAAATAGGGGTTCCCATGGTGGTGAGGGAAGGACTAGGGAAGGGGTGGGGGAAGGGTGCCACTCCTGGGGCTGCACAAGGCAGCAAAGCAGAGAGAACAGAGCAGCACTCACCCCAGCCCCAGCTGCAGCAGCCCCGGGAGCAGCTGGCACCAACTGCCTGCAGCCGCTGGGCTACCGTGCTCCACCTGTCCCTACTCACATCTGCTTTTGGGCTGCGCCATGCCCTAGTGCAGGCAGCTGGTGTTGGCTGCTCCCAGGGCCACTGCAGCTGGGGTTGGGGTGAGTGGGGCCATGGCCCTTTCCTTTCCCGCTACAGACTTACCTGCTTGGGGGGTGGAGGCATCTATGTTGATCACATAAGAGGGAATTTACCTTGCATGTAACAAATTATGGGTCTAAATATGCTCATTGCATAAGAGCGAATTCACATATAAAGAACCCATATAAATTGAGGGAGCCCTCGCAGAACTGTGATTAAATCCTGGGAGTGTGACTTGCTGATTCTTACCACTACACTGTGACTATAACTTTAGGCCCCTCCACAACCTGGAGAAGGAAAGTACTCCATATCCCAGTTGCAGATTCATTAGTCATTAAGGTTTTTACTCCTGATTTTCAAAATTTTATTCCATGTTTTAGCAGGTCATAAACTCCATTCTGTAGATTATCCATTATAATCAAACAGGCTAGTGTTCATTATGCCCAGGTGAACATTTCTTTTTCCTGGACCAGCTGAAGTATCTTCTCGGGGAAACTAATGTAGCAGATTGATATGGCCCTCAGGCACAGTTCAAGTCAAATGGGAGTCTGTTGGAGAGATTGCGCTTGACTCTAGTGGGAGTTTGATCAAACCGTACACACGACAAAGCAAATAGAAAAATATTATGTTTGTTTGAGAGTGTGTTGAAAGGTTCTTGAATTTCCAGCCCCCTGCCAGAGGCAGTATCATCCCTTAGCAAAACAACACAGTCAACCCAGACACAGCACAAAATGTATCACCCTGTGGTGGGACCCAGAGTTAGCTAAGGCTATGTGAGTGCAAACTCCCCATGAGGCAAGATACCCAATTAAAGAATAACTACATTTCAGGGATAATCCTCCCTGCTCCTACCCCCCACTTTAATAATTAGGAGGGAAAACGCTACCATGTGACTGAGAAGACAAAATAAAGGTTTTAAACATCTTAACTCCTAACAGTTCATTCTCACCCCTGGTCAGTGCTTACTTCTCAGACCACGGATGGTTCCAGCAGCAGGCCAGAATCATTACTGTCTCTGCAGGGAACTCCACCCCCCACCCATCCCTTGAGGTCTCAGCTTCTCTGCTGGCCTCAGCAGGTTGCCCCTGCCTCACTGCTCATGCCTTTCCAGCCCGCAGACCCCACATGGATGACTGCCTCTGTCTCCACTCTCTGGGGCTTCACCCCAGCAGGCTGTGGTGGATTCCAGCAGGCCAGCAGGCACTCACACAGGCATACATACCCACATGTGCACTCTCCAGCTCCCCTGCTTATATCTGCTCCCCCAGCTTCTAGAAAGAGATGGAGCCCTGGGGAGAAGGGCCCTTCCAGCACCATCCCCAGGGCAGAGTGCAATGAGCCAGGCCACACCCAGCCCCTCTGCAAGCCAGATGGTTACCTTTTCCCTGCCAGAATAAAACCCATCCAAAAAAAAGAAAAAAAAATAACAGGGAGCATCAAAAGGAACAATCCAACCACATAATCATCACACAACCTAATTTGCCCCATGTAAAGCAAGAAGACCATGGCAGCCAAAATCCTGCTGCTGCAAAACTTATTAAAATACATTTGAGAGATCCCAGAAAGAGGGCAACACCCTCCGCACCACAGAAGAAGGCAAAAACCTCCACAGTCCATACCAATCTGACAATGGGATAAAAGTCCTTCCTGAACCCACCTAAGGCAATTGGTCTGACCCTGAGTGGAGGGGGAAAACCCTTTAGCCAGAAACCTCCAGATTTAAGTCCCAGCAAAGTCCCCAGGCTTGGCTGCAGCCACCACCCAATATTTCTGGGGTGGAATTCTCTCCTGGCCCCACGGGACAACCAACAAAGTCCATAAGTATAGAAAATACCCATAGTAGAACACCCCCTGCCTCAGTCAGGGTGTTGGACTAGATGACCTATTGAGGTTCCTTCCACCCCTACTTCTTCATGATTCTCTATGAATAAAGGCACAACTGTATGTCCAACGCCTATTCAACCTCTTCTTGAACAACATTTCTCAACATATCAGTAAGTAAAGGTGGGTAGAAGGTATGAGACAGGTTGCTTGATTTAAGTGTTATTTAGATCAGTATGGATGTAATATTTACCTTTTGTAGAATGAGAGATGACAGAAGCCCTAACTATTTGTAATAAACATCCTGCAGCACCCTTCTCAAGATTTAGGGCGTTATTGTTGGTATCCTGGGAAAATTCTGATGGTTGATTTTAGACTACCTCTTTAAAATACATTGAAACTTCAGTTGGATACAACACCCTTCTTCATTCACTTCCTGTACCTACCTTTCTTGTCACGCAAAAGTCTGCATCAAAGGCTCTTAATGGCATTAGCTGGAAGGTCCACTTGTAGATCAGAAATTGTCTTAGGAAAAAGTGGGTATAAGTGGTCAGTTTTCAGAATGGAGAAAAGTAAACAGTGGGATCCCAAAAGGGCTACATCTTGGGACCTGTGATGTTTAATATCTTCATAAATGATTTGGAAAGGGGGGTTAATAGTGAGTTGGCCAAGTTTGCAGTTGACACATAATTACTCAGAATGGCAAAAACCAAAGAATACTGTGAAGAACTCTTGCAAAATTCATGAGCACAATCTGTACCCTCCACTGCAAAGTGCAGGCGTATGAGTGCAATCCCCCTCTACAGGTGCATGCAGGTACACAAGCATGATTCCCCCTCCAAACCACAACTGTTCCCATATTGACACCTTCCCCCTACCGGTGCACAAAGTGCCACCCC